TGCGTACGAAATGTCGGTTTTTTAAGCGAATATATAAAACTGCGTATCTTATTCCAAAAGCTGTTTATTTAATCAAAATATGCTCCATTCGCTTCGATACACTTTTCCCAACGAGATTTCAATGCACAGATGCCTGTCTCAAAGAAATTCTGATCTTTAGAATCGATAAACTCTCATATAGAATTTTTTAGACTGTCTTCATTTTCATATCTTTCAGCCCATAAAAACTGTTCTAAATGTTTAAAAGAATGAAAGTCGGTTGGCGAAAGATCCGGCGAAAAAGCTGGGTGCTGCAAAATTTCATATTTTAATTCATTTCATTTCGCAATCGTTTCGTACGACGTGTGCGGCCGAGCGTTGTCGCGGAGAAGTATCGGGCCACGCCGATTAACAAGCGATGGGCGTATAATTTTCAATTTTTCACGCATCTCGTCGATGTACCGGCAGTACTTTTCGGCTGTAATTGTCTCCCCAGTTCTAAGGAACGAGTAGCGAATTACTCCGGTCGCATTGGTTTCCACCGATGCTTTCGGAGCATCATTTTTCACGGACGTTTCGGGTCTTCCGCGCGGTTCATTTTCTAGGGAAAAATCAGCGGACCGAAAATTTTCAAAGCAACGCTGCACTTTTCGATCGTTAACAGTATTCCCCCCGAACGCCTGGTTTACATCGCGTGCAGCTTTCGCAGCATTGTTACCAAGTTTATACTCGTACAAAAAAATTACACGAATATCGGTTGAATTCGTATCCTTACGAAGTTCGAAGCAAATAACAAAATGGAACACTTTTGAGAAAATCTTCTTCGTTGAAACGTGACTCTGGCGATGGACGGTACGACTATAAACGAGCTTATGCCGAAAACAAAAGCACAACGAAAACAGGGAGACAAACGTTCGCAAGGAACGTTCGTAAAGAAAATCCGACATTCCATATACACCAACCTAATACATCATTTTCCTTCAAACACACGATACATAGAGACACGCAAAGTGTCCTATATTTTCGTCCGACACTGTCCAGTGGAATCAGCTCCAAGAATTGTGAATGAATCAGCGACGCGACGAATGCAAACAACTCGGTGTTCGTCTTCCGCGTCGACGAGACGAGACACCAGGAAACACCTCAGCATTTGTCGACTCTCCTAATAAATTCGAACGACCTACGCCGAAACAACAACGATCGAATCTCGGACGTAGCACCGAGCGCGTCCGATCGCTAGTGAAAGTGGCGGTCTCGTCGATGAATTGCAAGAGGGTGCGTCGTCGGCGGCGTTCTCGCAGCGCGATCGTTCCCGATGGAATCTCAGGAATCCGGGCCGATCGTCCATCGAGGCGACGGCTTATTTAATTGCGGCGACAGGCTTCGCCGTTGGTCGGCCGGCGAGCGTCGTCGATTGGCCGCGCAGTCGGTTCGGTTATCGTTCCAGCCTGCCAGCTAGCTATCGCGTTATCGCTCGGCTGAATATTTTCGCGCGCTTTGCCAACCGACCCGCGCCGCGGGCCGCCTTTGCGCGCCTAGTCCCACGCGGTCGGCCGGCCTCTAGCCGCTAGATCGCCGAGTCACCTGCATTCCTGGCGATCTCCTCGCGATTACGCAATTACCGGTAACACGGTCGACTCGCGATCACCCGAGCCCGGTGCACCACCCGGGGCCACCTGGTCGACGAATTCACGCACCGGCACACTGCACTGCTTCTTCGCCACGTGCACGGCGGCGTCGAGACTAGCCGACACAACTGGGACCACTGGGGTGCGCTCTCCGTAAAAAAAAAAA